ATGCTGTCTTTCCTCCAGTTAATGTTCTTGGCCCCTTTGTCAAGTATCAGGTGGCTGAACTTGCATGTACTTGTATCTGGGTCTCAATTTTGTTCCATTGATCTATGGGTCTATTTTTGTGCCAGTATCATGTTGTTTTTATGAGTATAGCTGTGTAATGCAGCTTGAAATTCTGGTATAGTAATGCCCCTGGCATTGCTCTTAGTGGTCAGGGTTGCTTTTGCTATCCTAGTTCTATTGTACTTTCATATGAATCTTAGGATGGTTTTTTCCAATTTTGTGAAAAATGTCATGTGGATTTTAATTGGCATTGCATTGAATCTATAAATGACTTCTGGTAGGGTTTTCATTTTCACAATATTAATTCTTCCAATCCATAAGCATGGGAGGTCCTTCCATCTTCTGATGTCTTCCTCAATCTCTTTCTTTAGTGATTTAAAATTTTCCTTGTAGAACTCGTTAATGTCTTTGGTCAGGTTTATTCTGAGATATTTTAATTTTTTGCAGCTATTGTGAAGGGGAGTGTTTCCATGTGCTCTTTCTCTGATTGCTTGTTATTGGTATATAGAAAGGTTACAGACTTTTATAGGTTAATTTTGTAACCTGCCACTTTACTGAACGTGTTAGTAATTTGTTGGAGTTTTCTGGTGCAATTTTTGGTGTCTCTTTGATATAATATATCATCTGCAAAAAGGGAAAATTTGACCTCTTCTTTTCCAATTATTACTCCTTTAATTTCCTGCTCTTACTGCTCTTGCAAGAGTTTCAAGCACTATATTAAAGAGAAGTGGGGATAGTGGAAAGCCTTTTCTGGTTCCTGATTTCAATGGGAATGCTTCCAGGTTTTCTCCATTTAGAATGATGTTTGCTGTGGGTTTGTTTTATTTGACTTTAATTATGTTTAGGTATGTTTCCTCCAGTCCAATTCTTAATGTAGGACTTTGAACATAAATGCATGTTGAATTTTTTCAAAGGCCTTCTCTGCATCTATTGAGATGACCATGTGGTTCTTGTCTGTGAGCCCATTTATATGATTTATGACGTTTATTGACTTACGTATATTG